AAATAAAACTCTCAAAAAAAAAGAAAGAAAGAAAGAAAGCCAACAGGATCTCTCTGTGCTACTATCCTTCTGCCTCAGCCTTCCAGCTGAGACCAAAGGTGTATATTACCGTGCCTGGCTCTTATTTTAAGTCAGGGCTGTGCTATATCACCCAGGTCAGTCTGATTGAGCTCCTCCTGCCTCAACTTCCCTGAATCACTGTGATTACTGGTGCATGACACTGCACCTGGCTTTTTACATTGGACCAGAAATTTCCTAGGTGGTCCCAGCCTCCAGAATAAAGCATCTCTAGCTGCACATGTCACTGAGGCTGGACCTGGCTTTGCTTTGTAAGTCATGTCTGTGGTTAATATTCTTTAGAGACCAAGTTCTTGAGATTGTACCAACAAATGAAGAACAGATGAAAAATCTGATGCAATTGGAGGCTGAAGAACATCTCAAGGTATCTGTCGAAAGGAGGGTATCTGTTTCCTAGAGTGGAAAGTCTCTAGTTAGACATGACGATTGGGATAGGTTTGGAACTGTACTTCAACTGATATGGTGTGGAATGATACTGGGGCTGGGAATTCTGAGTTGTAGTCCCAACTCCTGAAATTGGGCAAGTCTCCTACCTTCCTTGTGTCTCCTTTCCCACTCAGAATAACGGGGATAAATATACCATTCTTCTCTCTCACAGGCTTATTGGAAAAAGAGATTATATGTGAAAGTTACTTTTTTTTTTTTTTTTGGAGAGGTTTTTCCCATAGGGCGCATGCGCTCGCCAGACAGACAGAGAGAGACAGAGAGATAGAAAGCGAGAAATCACCCCCCAGGGGGGATGGCCACGCCACAATCCCTTCTCCATTCTCCTCTCGGGATCTTGGGCATGCACGCACACGTGCCCGGTGTGAGTTTTAAGCCACCGGGTCCGGGACACGAACCGTGGTCGACTACATGGGAGTCCAGCGACATAGCCATTACGCTCACTGCTGGTCCCAAGTGAAAATTACTTTGAAAAACTGTTGAACAACTTTAATGTATTATTTCCCCTAAAATAGTATTGGTATCCTATCATAAAATGAATTAGATCACTTAAATGCCAGGTTTGTTTTTGTTTTTGTTTTCAGGTTTTTGCCATAGGGCACGTTTGGCAGAGTGAGATAGAGAGAGGGAAAGTGAGAAATCACCCTTGAAGGCGGATGGCCACTCTGCAGTCCCTTCTCTTCCATTTTCCTCTTGGGATTCTGAGCATACGTGCCCAGTGTGATTTTCAGGCCCCTGAGTCTGGCACTTGAGCAATCAGCTATGTGGGAGTCCAGTGGCTTAATCACCATGCCTCCTGCTGGCTCCTAAATGTCAGACTTTTAAAAGCAACTGTTATATGGACCAGCAGATGGTGTAATGGTTACGTCGCTGGACTCCCATGTAGTCAACTGCAGTTTGAGTCCTGGATCCAGTGGCTTAAACTCACGTCGGGTGCATGTGTGTGCGTGCCCAAGATCCCAAGAGAACCGAAGAGAAGAGATTGTGGTGTGGCCATCTCTTCTGGGGGGTGATTTCTCGGTTTCTGTCTCTCTGTTTCTCTCTCTGTCTTTCTGGTAAGTGCATGCCTCTCAAAACCCCCCCCCCAAAAAAAACCAAAAAACACAAACTGTTATAGTTTTTTTTTTTGAGAGGTTTTCGCCAGACAGACAGAGACATAGAGACAGAAAGTGAAAAATCACCTCCCAGGGCGGATGGTCACGCCACAATTCCTTCTCCTCCATTCTCCTCTCGGGATCTTGGGCACACATGCCCACGCGCCCGGCATGAGTTCTAAGCCACTGGGTCCGAGACTTGACCCGCGGTCGACTACATGGGAGTCCAGGGACATAGCCATTACGCTAACTGCTGGTTCCCAAACCGTTATAGTTTTAAATAATCTTTTCCTCCTGCCAATTTTAATATCTAGCCAAAGAGGGCCAAAACAATATAACATATTTGCCAATGCTTAGGTATTAAAAAAATCCTTATTGGGATTGCATAGTGATTCTGCAGTAATTACAGTCTTGTGGGTGCAAGATAAACTAGATACACATTGATTTTTAAAAATTTATCACTGCTGAGTTGCCCATTTCCCTAGGATAACCAAGTTATTGCATTGCCTTGGCTTTTCTCCCTTTCAGCTTGACTTTTGGAAATTACCCACCATGCCAGGGGAGACAGTTCATATCCGAGTTCCTTTTGTCAACGTCCAAGCAGTCAAAGTATTCTTGGAGGCCCAGGGAATTGCTTATTCTATCATGATTGAAGATGTTCAGGTAATTATTCCACAGACCAACCATCTAAAGGCTTGTTGGTCCTCATGAACTGAAGGTTCATTCTCTTTTATCTTGGAGTGTTCTTTTTTTAGGGAAGGACCTGTGGGTGTCACCAGGGCCTTCCAGCAGGGTGTGCTACACATGACCCATGCAGGGTGGGTAGGAAGGCGCTATCTCTTTCCATTTGGCACAAGTGGAATATGGCAACAAGAACTGCAAGAGAGGCTATGGAATGAAGTACAAAGTGCAAACTGCAGTGTATTAGTCTCTTAATTTGTCATTGTGTTACTAACAGAAATACCTAAGACTGGGTGATACATATAGAAATAGAGGTTTATTTGACTCACAATTCTGGTGGCTGTAAAGTCCAAAAGCATAAGGCTGGCATCAGCCTGGCTCAAGTCACAATGTGGCTGACAGAAGCAAAGAGAATGGTGGACATGAGAGAGACCTGGGGCAGCTGTCTCCCTCTTATAACAACTTGCTTTCATAGAACTAACCCCTTCTCATGAGCACTATAACTCACTGGTTCTCATGAGACATCACTAATATATTCACAGGAGCCATCCCTCTATGATCCAATCCCATTAGGCTTTACCTCCTAAACTCCATTATGCTAGGGTCCAAGTTCCAAAGCATGAATTTTGGGGGGACAAATCATTATTTAAACCATGGCATAGTCAAAATAGGGAAAAGCAAGAATTGTGTAGTTTTAATTAGATGTTAGCTCAAGCACTGAGTTCTCAGAAACACAGAATAAGCCATAGGCCAAATCTGCAAGCCCATCATGGGACTGTATCACCCTATATCTGTAGCGTCTGACTGCCTGGAAGTCCCATTAATGCCCATCTTCTTTCAGAGTGCTGCCCAATTAAGGGGAAGACATGACCTCAAAGCCTACAGGACAGGGAAAAGACAGTGTTGTTACTGGACCTGAGTGTCACCATTTCCTTCACAATTGTAGGATAAAAGACAATGCTGTCAAAAAACAGAACAAAACAAAACAAAAAAACAAATACAATGCTGTCCACTAATCATAGATATAATTGGTTTATTGTAGCTTCTGTTGGATCAAGAGAATGAAGAAATGCTATTTAATCAGAGAAGAGAGCGGAATGGTAACTTTAATTTTGGGGCCTACCATACCTTGGAAGAGGTAGGTACTTCAAAATGGACGGAAGAGAAATGGGTCATTCTTTCCTACCATGATGAGGTCTATACTTCCATGTGGTGATTTAATGACCTAGAAATTATTCTCCTAATATTTCCTAACTTTTCCAAGTTTCCCTAGCATTTCACAGCTGTATCAGTGTCACTGCTTCTCACCTATTCCTGCTTAATGCAGGACCTACACCTCACTTTCCCAGCCACATAGTTGTTTTGAAAGAGTCCAGGAGTGTCTTAAGTGAGTTGACAAATAGCCCTCTCATGCTCTGCCCCACAAGGCCCCCTTGCTGATTTCTGACCCATGTTGCCCACAGAGCCAGTCAAGAGCTGTGCTCCATGGCTGCCATTGATGATGGAGTCAGAGGTTACCTCAGCACCTCTGATTTCCAGACAAAGGTGGAGTCTCCCAACCTGTCCAAGGTTCAAGGTCTCATGGTAGCAGGATCTAAGGCAGTCTTTGCTGAGACTGAGTTTTGTTGGGCCTGTGTTGCATTTGGTACTCTGTTCTGTTACCTGGGTTACTGAACAGTGCTGTATTTACCACTCTGACTCAGAGCTCTTCCTGAGGCCTATGGGTCTATCTACACTGACTTGAGAAAAAACAAAGCAGGGAGCAGGAAAGTAATGAAGAGGAGATATCTGGTAGATACTAAGTTTCCAATTCATCAATTCTATTACATTTTTATTTTTAAAAAGTTGTTTATTTTATTCATGATAGAGACCATACATGTGACACAGAGTGTGGGAGAGTATCATTCATGCTGCAATCCCTTCCCCCAAGTCCTTCAGCTCTTGGATTCTTAGGCATGCACTGGCCAGAGCATTCTCTGGCTGGGAGTATTTTCAGGTCGACCAACTCCCATGTGGTGGGCCGTGTGGCTTCCAGCACTGCAGCTCAGGAGCTAATGACAGCAACATAGAGAATGGGCCTTAAATCTGCAATTTAAAAATGCAAAGAGCAGGACCAGCAGATGGTGTAATGGTTATGTTGCTGGACTCCCACATGGTTGACTGCAGTTTAAGTCCTGGATCTGGAGGCTTGAAACTCACACCAGGCACGTGTGCATGCATGCTCAAAATCCCAAGAGGAGAATGGAAGAGAAAGGATTGTGCCGTGGCTATCCTCCTGAGAGGTGATTTCTCAGTTTCTGTCTCTGTCTCTCCAGCGAGCACACATGTCCTATAGCAAAAGCCTGTCTCTTAAGAAAAAAAAAAAATTAGCAAGGAGCCCTGAAAATTTCTTCCTCTAATGTATTTGGTGGTAAAATCTGATCTGGCCTAAACTCACTTGGGCCAAAATCTGACCTGAATTGATTTGCTATTCATTTCACTGCCAGAAATCTTAATGTGCTTCAACATGGAGCACTGTCACACATACAACATAGAGTATATACCTACTATTTCCTTTTTAAAATTCTGTCCCTCAAGTTCAGTCTTACTTTGAAATATACGTGTCTCCAAGGGTTTCGGGTAAGTGACTCCAGAGAAGCAGAGTGAGGAAGAAGGGAAGAGGAGGAAACAAGACCCTCTCTCCTTGCATGGCCCTCTAAGCCAGTGTCTGTGTCCTACAGAGAGCAAATGCTGACAGCAGAGAGGCTGTTTCAACCTGTTAACTCTCCAGACCCACCTCCACACATCCCATTCTCAGCCACGGGACACAGTTTGGGTGGCCCAGATGCAAAACATTTCCATCAGCCTTGAAAATGGGAGCCTGAGTAGCTGATGACTCTAGCGGGTCTGTGGCACCATGGCATTGTCTCTGGAACTGCTACATTCTGTAGTAGCGCCTGCCCTTGCATCCATATTTACTTTTAAATTATTTACTTAATATTTGTCTACTTATTATTTTTAAAATGTGCTACAGAGCACGTGTGCTCACCAGGAACAGTCATGGGAAAGTGGGAAAGCAAGCTGCCAGGTCCGGGACTCGAACCACAGTGAGCCATGTGGTAGTCCAGCATTTCAACCACCAGGCCTATGGCTGAGGCAGCTCTGCCACTGAGATGGGGTCGAGGAGAGCCACAGGCAAAACAGACAAGTGCCATTTTGTTCTGCACGAAAATGGAACGAACTGGCTCTGCAGCCACAAAATGGTTTCTCCCTTCCAGACCCCGCAGTTGCTGAGTGACTCACAATACCTTAGCGGGAATTCAAACTTAAGGAACCTACAGCACCCGCGCTGTCCTCCCTTCTGGATCCTTATAGAGGATGGGAATGGAGACCCGGGAGAAATTACTTAATGGATGTATTGCACTGTTTATTTACTCATTTAAAACATTTCAGATTTCCCAAGAAATGGAAAACCTCGTGGCTGAGTACCCCAGCCTAGTAAGCCAAGTGAATATCGGCTCTTCTTTTGAGAACCGGCCCATGAACGTGCTCAAGGTACTCCAGTGTAACAGCGGTTTTTCCTCTCGATGCTTCTAGAATCCCCCTCCTCCCAGCTGGGGAGGCAGAGCAGTTCTTTCTTTCTTTTTTTTTTCCGCCCTAACCGGTCCTTGCTGGTTTTGAGTATCCACTCCCCCACCCCTTTCTCTTTTTTCTTTCTCTCTTTCCTGCGCAAGCGGACGCAGGTCTGCAGGAGTGGATTAATGCTCACGTCTTGATAGACGCACTCGCGGGGAACCAGGGCGAACCCGCCAATAGGAACCGAGGAAGGGGGAGGTGGCCCAGGCCCGGGTGAGAGGAGGCTGGAGAGTCTTCTGTAATTAATCAATGGGGGAGGTTTCTGCCGTT